AATGAGTCTTTGGTTGATCAGTATTGCATGTCTATATCTGTTTTCATGAGAAGCCACTTTGAAGATATCAATATGTAATACAACAAGCACTGTTAATTCCCTCCCACTTTGTTTTTAACTCCGTACTGTCTGTACTGTTCTTTTGCTATGTTGTAAAATGTCTGTCTGTTAATGTTTTCCTCGTTTTATTTTTAAAATAAATGAAGAAAAGAAAGTGGTTTACATTGAATAAAATTTCAAAATGTTTTCTAAAAACAGATTATTCCAAAGTTCTATTTAATGTAGATATGTTTTAGGTTTTTGGTCTGAGAACTTATAAGATCCTTTAGATGTAATGAATAATAAAACAATGTGATTTTCAAGGCACTTAAAATAGGTACTCTTGAAGGCAATCTCAGAATAAAAATAATGAAACTCTAACACACTAGCTTCTGCTATGCAAGTAAAAACCCAAATATACCACTTTTCCTTACACTATCTGTGCAGACACATCACCTATATGATGGTATGGTGCATAAACACCAAGTGAAAAGAGGACTCATCCCATCCCTTTTGGAGCTTTCAGAGGCACAGCCTATCGCCCTTGATTTCAGGTGACAATGCAGTCTACTACATTTAATACAGTGGCTCGCTGTCCACAAAGAATTACAATCAAACCTGAACTGCAACTAAAAGTTAAATGGTCCTAGAGTATAAACAATTGACAAGCTCTAGAAATCCCGCATCTCTCCAGGGGCAGTTAGCCAGCTCCTACTACATGGTCTCCCACTGTCTCCCAATTACAAAAGACAGGAAAAGTCCTCTGAGTCATCAGCTACCCTAGATGCTTCTTTCTCCACATTAGTAAGCAGATTCAGGGGACCACAGTGGCTGGACTAACAGTAAAAATCTTGTCCCCTTTAGGCTTCCAGGTAGAAAAGTATGAAAAATCAAGAAGTTTCAGTGTGCACTTCACTGGCATACTATAATTCTCCAACAACTCCAGAGATTAGAATACTCTAAAACATACAGATAAAGTCACATAGCACATGCAAAAGACCTGGTAAGAGTTTTTTCTTTTATTCTAATTTATTTTTCTTCAAAAAATGGTAGCAGGGTCTTTCTGGACCTCCGTTTTAGTGAAAGGAGACCACTTTCTTCCTGTATTTCATTGGCTTAGACAAGGAGGCTTCCAGCTTGCAAACATGGTACTCTATTGAATAATTTCCCTAGACAGATAAATAGGCGCCTCTGACTGCAATCTGTACGTATAAAGCAAATGATTATTTTACACTAATAAGATGATAATTGTCTTGGGATAAAGAAAACAATTCTTAAATTATCAAATATAATGACTTAAAATATTTCATTTGTCCAAAGAAAGGTGAAGATTAGTTTTTAAGAAATATGCAGCCAACATGACTGTTTTAAAGTACAGCAGCATCTCGGTTCTAAGGTCCCCACTGGATATCACAGTTCAAGGATGCTCAAGATCCTCCTATGAAGTGGCACTGGATTTGCATATAACCTTGCAAATATCCCCTTATACTTTTTGTTTTTAGTAGTACATGTTTGTAGTATACGATGATTACATTCATCAGTCATTTCATGTAAGTAACACATCTTGATAACCTTTACTTTCCCTTCCTTACCTCTGGATTACTTATAACACCAAATACAATATAAATAGTTGCTATATTGTGTTGTTTAGGGAAGAAGAGCAGGAAAAAAAATGCCTTTACAAGTTTAGTACAAATGCATCATTTAGAACTCACTACATTTCCAATGTGTGAAAACTGAACTAATTTTAGATACTACAATGAAATACTTTAAAGGGATGTTTTAATTGTTTTCCCGCATGTCTTTAAAAAAAAAAAAAACTATCATTGAGTAACCTGAAATCTCAGTTCTAAAAAATAAAAACTACCTAAGTTTTCCTGTCTTCAAAGAGACTGTCTTTAATTATAACAAGAATATTTTTACCTCTTGAGAGTTAACTTAGAATATTACAGAAATCACCAATATGACTTACTCCACTGAGCTGCAGTATTTCCACCTTTCATAATATGCCACTCAAATACAGCATTTACTTTCTTTACCACCTCTTGCCCAATATCCTTAAGCCGACGATTTATTTCCTCAAATACAAGAGTACTTTGTAGTTCCCCACCCTGGCAAAAAGACAAAACAGAATTTAAAAGTTCTGTAAAAATGACTGAAAGAGAAAAATCATCATAAAGGTATACAATAAAAATAATTTTCTTTCAAATCTAAATATAACTAATATAACTAATACAGTTAAATTACTTTTTTCACTGTAAGAGGATTCCACTTTCATCAGAATTTAAAAGTTTTTATATATAAAAGTAAATTATATATAGTATTTATTTATACATATACTATCATACCGACACCCACAGGACTGGGGATTCAATCATTGAACCCAATGCTTTCTCACTGAGATATATCCCAGCCCTTTTTAAAAATTTTATTTTGAGACAGAGTCATGCTAAATTGCCCAGACTAGGATCAAACCTGATCCCTGCCTCCATCTCCCAGTTTGGGAATATTTTAAAAGTAAACTAGGAACTGGATAATCTATTTCCTAGTTCACTTCAGGAAGACACTGAACAATCAACTTCTGTAGTCTCATTTTTGTTTATAGTACTGAATTACATGAAGCCTCAATCTCTTTCCAGCTCTAAAGAGATTTCATTTTCAGTGAGTTACATGATAAAACAGTTTATGATAGAAAGTTAATGCCCACAGATAAGGACACCTCAACATTTTCAAGTTAATATTTTGGAAACAGAAGATAAACCTTTTATCAAACATCTCACTCAGCATGTTAAGAGGATGGTAATGTTTTAATAAATTTTATATACTCATTTTATATTTATATATAGCACACATTTTAATACAAATATTTAAATAAAGAAAAGGTACAGGATATTTAAATTTTTCACCTATTTTTATCCAAATACTCTAGGATTTCTCACTAAACAACAGATTTAGATACTCAAAAATCAGAAAATTAGTTTCTCCTGAAAAATATCCTTCATATCAAGAGTTATGAATCTTTTCATACTCTTTCATTTTCAAAAATAGGCTGAACATTCTTAAAATGATCAAAACAAATTCAAAAGCAAGGAAATGACTTGGATATCAGCTTTTATGACCTACCTCAGGGTGTGTCTTCGCTGAAACACCAGATGGTGGTACAAGATCTACATATGCATTTGAAATGACAATATCTCCAGTTTCTAGAACCTTGTAAGTAGAACAAAACAGGAAAATGGAGAGCTCATTTGAGGACTTCATTGGAAACAATTTCTGTAAATGCTAATTATTTAAAATAAATTTATATTTTTGTTTCATATGAAAAAGAAAATAACCCAAATAAAATAAAAAGTTAATAATGTAAATGATAAGATAAATAAACACCATGGCTTTTTGATTTAATACAATTAATATTATTAGCCCTGGCTGTAAATCAAATGAACTGCTTTTTAAAAAACCTACCTGGGCTGGGCATATAACTCAGTAGTACAGCACCTGCCTAGCAAGCACAAGGTCCTGAATTAAATTCCTGGCACCATCAAAAAAAAAAACCTGTGGCCAGGACCCATTCCCTAAAAATTCAAATGGCCTGCAATGGAGCCACCACACTGGTATCTCACGAGTTTTTTTTTTTTCCAAATGTAAGTACTTTTAATAGGGTGCAAAGGTGAGCAGTGTTGAATTCTTATAAATAGTAAAAGACATGGCACAACATCCACCCAAAGCACATGTTTTCTGTTAATATAAAAAAAAAAAAATTGGCTAGAAACATACTGTAATGGTGCTGCTAATGTAGTGATTCCAGTTCTTTCATATTAGCAGTACAGATATTTCACTCTTACATCTGGTAATCTGAGCAACTTTGTTGAAGATAATAATATGTAATATAACAACCACTATTAATTCCTATTATCTTGTTTTAAAATCATCATTTTTATTGTTTTTGTATTGTTTTGGTTTTGTCTTCATTGTTGTTATTTTATTTTTCTCTTTAAAATAAAAAAAAAAATGTGTATCTTTTTAGGAAATAGGCATTAAAGGAATTCTAATTCCCAATCCTTTATTTCAAATTATTCCAGTGACTATTCTTTCATAAAAATTACAGTAGTGGACCGGGGATACAGCTCAGCAGACCTGCCTGGCAAGCACAAAGTCCTGAGTTTGACTCCCAAGTACCACCCCCCAAAAATTACAGTATTGCTACAAAAGTAAAAGATAATTTTTAGAAGCTAAGGTAGCACTTAATTAAAATTTTGATTTTTATCATTTGAGGAGTTTTCTGAACATAATAACCAATTTATTTTGCTTGTACTTTGCTTTGCACTACAGAATTAAGAATCTACAAAAGGTAACCTTCTCCACTGTTGGTGGGAGTGTAGACTGCTACAGCCACTATGGAAATCAGTGTGGAGATTCCTCAAAAAACTAGGATTAGAGGTCACATTTGACCCTGCTATTCCCCTTCTGGGTATTTTTCCAGAAAAACTGAAAACATCACACCACAGAAATATATGTGCACCCATATTTATAGCAGTGCAATTTGTCATAGCTAAGTCCTGGAAACAACCCAAATGCCCATCAACTGAAGAATGGATTTTAAAAATGTAGTTTTATACAATGGAGTATTACTCAGCTATAAAGAAAGATAAACACAAAGCTTTTATAGGTAAATGGATGTAACTAGAGACAATACTCGTAAGTGAAATAAATCAGACTCACATGTGTAAACATTGTATTGTCTCCCTAGTGTAAGAAACTGAAAGAGTAAATAAAATCCAAAGGGTACAATAGATATGGTGAAAGGGAAAGAAATTGCTCAAAAGCAAAGAACAATTGGGATGGGGGAAAGGTGAAAAGAAAAAAAAAGAAGAAAAAATATATATATACACACACACACGATAGCTAAGATAATTGTACTGCTAATTTCTATTGGTTTATTAAAAAAAAAGAAATAGTTAATGCTTAATTGATTAATTTTGCATGCCTATATTTGGTAATCTGAACAACTACTTTGAAGATAACAATATGCAATATAACAACCATTGTTAATTTCCTATCGTCTTGTTTTGAAATTCTGTATCATTTTTATTGGTTTTTTTTCTTATTTTTTATTCTCTTTTTTAAAAAAAGAATCTATATTTAAGACTAACAGCTCTTTCAGGAAATATAAAATAAAAATTCCAGGGATGGAAGTGAAAAGAAGATGATACGGTAAAAAGAGCTAAGGCCCTGGGATTTCAACTTGGAGGCCAGTATGACGTGAGTTTTTATCCCAGCTCAACCACTTTCTGTGTAGCCATGAGCAACTTATTTACAACATCAAGATTTTGTTATGAACACAGAGTTTCTTATATTTCAATGCAGTTATTATATATATTAAGTACAGTAATACAGTCTGCTTATGTCTTACAAAATAAAACCTGTTTTATCACTGTTGGAGTTGTTAAACCTGCTCTATGTAATACAAAATGATTAAGCCAAAAAGGATTAGCTGATTAAATGTGTTCACAAGAATTATTTCTTAAAAACTTACAAATAAAACAATGATTGGATATCGTTTTAGTATAATACACCTTTATCTGGCTTGTCACTTAACCATCAGGCTCAGACTCTGCAATGCAAGATGTCAGTTTGTGGATTATTGTGTGATCAAGAAGCATGTGATTTCTGCCTAGTGAAATAACTAGGAAGAATGTAATTTTATTGTCCTACAGGACATTAACTAGTTTTGGTCCTAACTCAGCAAACTTATTTTAGGATACCTTTTCTGTTAGAACTATATAAGGTACTATTCTAATTTTCTTTTGAACCAGTTTTCCCATGTTGCAAGACCCTTAATTAATAATTTTAAAAGAAAATAAAAAAGGTGCATAAGGTATCTTATGTTCAGTTACAAATTACCATTGGTTAAAAAAAAAATTTTTTTTCTAAGTTTCACCTCATATCTATATTATAAAAAAAGTTAAAGAAAACATGGTAAGAAGAACAAAAGGATAAGAGTACAGAGAAAAAGTAAGAAAACTCCCTCCAACTCTCTTCATACCTTGGTTTGAAAGTGAATTCTGTTACCTTCTTTCCACATCTCAGTTTGTAGAGTTTGTCCTGGATATACTGGTTTTGCAAAGCGAGCCTTAAAAAATAAAAAAACAGAGTTGGTTATAGAATTAAAAATGCTTTAAGAAAATACTTGTGTGTGGTGGGGTAGTAGGTTGGAGTGCATAAAAGGAAAAAACAGTTGAAATATATCTAGATTAGTGAAATACCTAATAATATGAACAAACTAGTAAAAAAGCACATATAGGACCAAAAAAGTGAACGAATTCTTAAGCAACCGTTTTTGACATACCAAGAAAAAAACCATATTGAATAATTAGACAGGTAAGCCCCATAACCATTTAAAGAAAAAGTTAAACATGGTACTTATTAAATATGGAGGAATGAGGCCTGGAAAGGGTACATAAGGCAAAATAATTCTACTTTTTAGTTCATAATTTTCTATAATATTTTACAGAAAACTATTATACATTGACTATGTATACATTATTGGTTAATAAAATAGATGTAATAAAAAGCATGAGAATAATCAGTATCATCAAGGGCAAGGCATCAGAAAATTCATTTTCAATATTGCATAAAATATATACTAATAAAAGGTTTAAGTGTGTATCATTGACTTACAGAAAAATACTGTGGGCATAGATACTTTCCCTTATTATATACAATGAATAAATCCTGGTATCATCAAAAACATAAAAACTTACAAGTAATATGTAGCTATCATATTACTACAGGTATCCACCTACTATTTTCAGATAAATTAAGGCAAATTTAAAAACAGGAAAAAAAATAAATCTTAAGTTCTTAAGCATATATGTTAACATATATATTTTTCATAATTAATTGATAAAACCAATTAATCTGTTAAAACTATAACTGTATTATATGCTGGGTAATACAGACAACTACAAAAAGAAAATATGCCGATTGCCAACTCAATGAAATAATAAAAATATGTACTGCTGTAGCGTACTAGCCATCTTAAGTCACTAAAGTTCCTTTTCTTTAATGATGGAGAAAGAATTAATATTCAAATTATGCATATACCTTAATTGCCTTGAACCTTGATACATCATTATCCGCAAACTGCCGTAAAACGTGCCTGGCTGAAAATCCAAAGGTACATAATCCATGTAATATTGGCTTCTCAAAACCTAAAAAAAAGGGAGGAATTTAGATGGAAATAGGTACTTTTCATGTTTAAAAACAAAGTTAATTCAAGATTTTAAAAATACAACTTTAAACTGAAGTACAATAAAGTATATCATCTATTTTAAGAAATATGGAAAATATTCTGTAACACTTCCCGGGAGAAAATTATGAAAAATAAGGAAAAAAACAGGAAAAGAATGTGAGCGATTTCGGAACACAAAGACCATGTAAATCACTGGTGACGATTTACTTTAATGCCCACGTAGATCAGTGGTCCCTTCCTAACCTTCCAGGCCTTGCTCTCTGTCAGTAGCCTCATCCTTCCCCATACCGCAGGCACCCTCCCCACAGGTTTGTCCCACACTTGGCACACACAGAAGCTTCACTCCACCAGCATCTAAATTTCAAGTACGCCATTTTCTTAATATCACATCCCACCTTTCCATATTCTCTATTTAAATATAGAAAGAGCTATTTTTAAAATGTTACTCAAATTACTAGATTTAAGTAGCAGGGTCTTTAAGTATATTATTTAGATAACTGAGCTAATATTTTTCACTATACATACTAGCAACTCACCTGCAAGGCTTGCAAAGTTCGGGTCAATGTGTAAAGGATTCCAGTCTCCACTGAGGCGGTACAAAGCAGCCTATGAAGAAAGAATTACAAATGGTACTAGTAGTCAGTATTGTCTAAGAAAACATTAAATGAAAAATAGAAAATATGGCTTTTTTCATAACATATGCATCAAAATGTACCTAATCCAGATTCTGATTTTTAAAATAACTATTTCTTAAAAACAAAAAGCCACATTGAGAACGTGCCTTAAGAAAAAATAAAAATAAAGATTATCTCTAAATTAAATGTTTTAAGCAACACCTGACACTGAAATCATTAAAGGGTGGGGGGATGTCAAATAATAGAAAAGGAAACCTAGAATTACATCCCACTACCTGAGGACAGTTCTCAAAAGGGAATTCATCAATCTACTCTCATTAAACCACAAAGAAGATAAAGTAAATGTTTACAGTCTCTTCTGTCTTAATAGGGAATTTTCAATTGAAGCCTATAACAAGGTTAGACCATAAATGTCAAAGATTTCTTACAATCTTTCATTCTTCTATTATACTAAACCCTGAATATCTGCTTATCCTGCAAGAAAGCAGACTGACAGGCTGCCAATATGTTTAAATCTGTTTAGTCTTAGATAAAATAGGATTATTAGAAAGATTTAGACGCAACAGAGAAAAAGTCACTTCCTGGCATTTAAATTGTGCATTTTTTAAGCTACAGAGCACTTTTGAGAATTGAAGGGAAGAAAGCCACAAAACAACTAACAGTAGATATTTAATGACTCTATCACTTGACCCTTTGGGTCTACCCTCAAAACTTCTTCCCTTTCACATCAAATATTGCATTAAATTTTCCAAAACTATTAAAATGTTATGTAAAGACTAGTGGTGCAAGCTTATCTGACTTTTAAAATTACTGTTTCTAACAAGTTTGATTTGCAGAAAATAACATTTTCTATAATTCAGATGAAAACTTCATTTCCTGATATGCTTTGTATAATTACAATGAGCTCTTTTCTTTCCCCATTACGACATATGACAGTTTTATAAGTTACTTACTTTTTAATGGCCCAGTATTTAATGGCTCAATATTCTTTCTTTTTTGTCTTCTAAATATAACTAAATTAGTAACTACTGAACACTAGTGACTCACAAGATTTTGTACATTAGAGGATAAAATAATTTTTAAAAAGCGTTTTACAAACAGTGAAACATTATGCAAATGTTGTCATGTTGTATATCAAAGACATGACACATTTCAGGCCTGAAAGGAAGTTGTCAGAAACATCACAGACCATAGTCTCTGTCACCAAGCAGGCCTGATTTACATCCAGCCATATCATTACTAGGGCAGTTTCTTCACTACTCTAAGCCCTAATCTTTCCTTTTTTAAAAAAAAAACCATTGAGAGAGTTAAAGATTTACTTTCACAGAGTAGCTGAAAAAATTAAAAGGGGTAAAACTCGCAAGGTATTATCTATGATGAATATTAATGTATCAACAAATGCTATTTTTTAAAGATTTTGGCAATGTAAGTCAAGCAAGGTTTAAAGATTAGTACTAATTTTTGTATCTCACAGATAACATTCCTATAATTAAAAAAAAAGTTTTGTAAAGAAATCAAGGGCTGGGGATGTGGCTCAGTGGTAGAGCTCTTGCTCTGCATGCACAAGGCCCTAGGTTTGATGCCCAGCACCACCAAACAAACAAAAAAAAAAGGTAAAATAAAGTGTTTATAAAACAACAATCATATTAGTATGAAATTCACATGATTTTAGTGCTGGCATTGTTATCAGCAGTTAGCAAAGACAACAGGTCCAGAATGAAAAATGACACAGCCAAATAGATGACTGGATGCTGGACTGAATTCAATCACGATACAAAATAAGTATTCTCTAATAATTGAGGAATGTGGCCAAGGCTCATTTTATAAATATTTTTAAATGACTGGTATACTTCAAAAAGAAAGCTAAATTTTTTTTTTCATTCTTATCATCATAGAGAAATCATCACAACCAAAAGAAAAAAGAAGAGAGAAAAGGAAAATAGCTATATATTGTCTTACTTGTGCATTAAAAATGGGTGACAGGGTTTTCTAAATGAGTTATTTCTCTTTTTTTATTTTAAAAATAAAAGGAGGAAAACATTAACAGACAACCTTTTATGAAATAGCAAAAGAACAGTACAAACAATGCAGAGTTACAAACAAAGTGGTAGGAAATTAACAACGCTTGTTGTATTGCATATTGATATCTTCAAAGTGGTGTCTCAGGAAAACAAATAGGGACATGCAATATTGATCAATCAAGGACTCATTAACAGTTTCTTCCAGGAAAGAAACAGGAGACAGTAGATCAAGTAAGTTATTTCTTAACTTGATTTTTAAATATTTACCATTGAGCTGAGCTTAAGTGCTAAATAAAAAAGCTCAGAAATTACTCCTTAAATCATCCCATCCTCTCAAAAAAAAATACAAATCAACAAGAATCACCAAAGTCACATCAATCCCAAGCCTACTGTGTGACTAGATGGCAGAGAACACCAAAAACTTCTCATTCTTGTAACTGCAAGATGAGCACCAATGTCACCCACTCCACTCCTGAGCACTCCTCAAGAACCACAGCAAAGTGTGGAGGGCTCTGAAGGACCATGTTGAAAGCAGCACGGCAAAGAGAGCAGAAGAAATGAAGAAACATCACTCCAGATAGTGTCCACTGTGAGGGTAATGACACCGAGACGAGCTCTGAGAGACTGCAGCACCAACTACAGATAAAAGAACTAAAAGTGCAGAGGACAGCAGACCACCATCTCGTCTCTGAAAGCATCACTTTTAGAGCATGAAACAAAGATATTCCCTCTAGGGACTGGATGGTGGAGAAAAAAAACAGCAAATTTATGATCCTGAAAGATAAAACTAAAAAAAAAAATTAAAAATAAAACACGTCCCCAAATACCCCATAGTTATATGCCATCCATTAAAGAAATCCGTACTTTGCCACATGGGTAAATAGCAATTTCAAACAATCCATCTTGGAAACTATCCCAAGCCATCAACCTTATCTACAAAATGTACAGAGGTAAAACACTCTTCCCCTATACAAAGCTATTGTAAGAGTAAAACCAAAAACAAGAGCCAAAGGGGCTGGGGATTTAGCTCTGCAGCACAATGCCTGCCTGGCAAGCACAAGGTTGTGAGTTCGATTCCCAGTACCGGAAAAAAAAAAAAAAAAAAGAGCCAAAACATCGTAGTGAATGGAACTGGATATTAAAAATGGCAGAGTAAAGTCTGGCAGCAAAATACAGCCTCCTCAAAACTTGGAATTGAGACATGTGGAAAAATAATAGTATAGTAAGAGAAAAAGAAGTAGTGCTCTAGGAATCAAGAAAGAGCCAAAAGGAAAACTAAAAACCACAGAGGAAATGAAGAAACTTAAAGGCAACATAGAGAAAAAGCAGTCTGGTACCCTGATTCCAGCTCCCAGGGAGGAGTCCTAGCTCCACAAACATAAGGTGAGCCCAGAGTGTCCATAATATCCTAGAGAAGCAGCAGAACCGCAGTGCTGGCTCCAAGTCGTGCCCCCAGTTATTGCAAGCTGCAAATACAGCCCAGGGTTTTACTCTGCGTCCTTACCCATGGCAGCCAAAAGTTGGAAAAGAAATTCACTGTAACATTCACCACACTTGGAGTGATATAATCAGAAGCCATTTGACAAAGGGGTTATTGTCTAAGACTGAGCTACTGTGGAAATCAGAAGTCACAGAACAACTACACTTCAGGGTCTCTATGGTTACCTACCACAGTGCCAGGGTGGGAGACAGCCATAAGAGACAGTCACAGAGAACAGGTGGACCACTCACAGATCCCCTGAGAAGGTTAAGCAGCAGTGAAGCTCAGGATATAGGGAGATCTAACTGTCTGTGCTAAGAAGTCAGGTTGATCATGTGGTTTTCTAAGGAGTCTGGGTCTGAAAGTGTTGACATTGAATCCAGCAGAATTCTTGGACTTCCTCACTGCCCATATGCAGCCAGACCTAGGGTCTGTATACTTTTCTCATCTGCCAGTGAAAATAGGGAAACACCTCCACTGGGATAGTTGCCACGTTCTGGGGTGTACAGACTGGGGCCCTGGAGCAGGAAGCACGCACCTAATTAAACTGTGAGCCATAAAGCTAGTGGTAGACAGCAGTGACTTAGGGCACTCAAAAGCGCACAAACATTAAGAGTCACCAGAGTAAATACAGCCCCATACACACAAAACACCTTTGCCTGACCACACCCAGAGGAAAAGATGGGGAAGGACTCAGCATTCATTGGGCAAAAGTGGGTGTGGAAACAAAACAGGACCTAATTATGACTCATTATCCTCTACCTTATCAGGTGAATTCCAGTACCACTACAACAGGCCCTGGAAAGAAACCACTCACCCAGACACACAGAGGAATTTTTTAAACTCATTTCTCTTTTTCTCTTTCTTTTGTTTTGCTCCTTTGTATTTTATTTTGTTTTTGTCTCCTTTTTCTTTCTTTCTTACTTTTTCTTGTTTATAGCTAATTCTTTGAACTTTCTTGACAGCTTATTTAGAGGTGCTAATGGGGGAACGCAGCTGCTCCTATACCCCTGACAGCTGAAAAACAGTCTTCCTCTATTGGGCAAGTCTGTCCTCTTTGACGGAGCGCCCACCTTCTGGAGGGACATACACGGAGAGGGGAAGGAGGACAGATACACACCTAGCCAGTGGTCAATGACACAACAGCTGTGCCGGCCAGATATCCCTCATATCCTATTAACACTCTATTATTCTTTAATCAGATTTTTTTCTCATCTTTCTTTCCTCATCCTGCTTTTCTTTTTCAAATTTTACTTTGTTAGTTTCCTTTCTTCCACTTTTATTACTAATATGTTAAGTTTACTAATTTTTAGCTATTTTGCTGCTTTCCTCCTTTCCTTCATTCTATCATTATTCTCAGCTCCTTCCCTAATGAACCATGAGCCCAGTATCTCTGAGGGCATCTACATACTGTACCACCTTCATCTATTTAGCAAGGTCTATTCTTTGCTCCCACGCCCTTCTGCATTTCTCTCCCAAGTGTGCATTCTTGCTCAGGTGTCTACACTTGCTCCATAAAACAAATCCTTGTGCTCAATCATTCATGTCTTGGAATAAGTACCTCAGTTACTTCAGACATCTACATCTTGAGTAGCCAACTGTCCTTTCTACTCCTTGAAAACAGATGACATTAACTCTATTTGATTTGTATTTCCCACCGAGTTTCAGAAGACCCATAAATTCCCTAAAATTCATGCAACCTTTTTTTGCAAATCATTTTTCAAAGAAATGTATATAATTTTCACATTATAAATGATTACACGGCCCCAAATCATCAACAACCTCCAGCAAATGATGAATTCCCACTCTTTATACAAAAAAAGCTAATTTACGAGGGTAAATGACATTAAAAAGAAATTCTTCTACTTACCATGTACAAATACAAATGTTAAAAACTATTCAGCTTTTATAAAAGCAGATACATTTATTTCAGTATAACCCAAGAATAATAATGTTGAGTTTTCTGAACCATAAGCCTCTTCTATCCTAACCAAATCAATCTGTTAGGTTTTATGTAAGTATGAGTGCATTCTTAAGAAATTGATAAAAATCAGTATGAGATAAGAATACTAAAAGGAAAAAAAAAAAACCAATCTAAGGATAAATAATAGTCTTTCTCCATCACCTGATTATTTAGAACACACATATAAAATAAGTATAAAGCTTAATTCTGGTTAAAATTATATTTCTACTTACTAGAAAACAAACTCTGCATGTACTCATATTACACTAAAATTAACATAAAAAGTGAACATTATAAAAATTTGAGTATATATTCACATACAGCGTAACTCCAGAGTCTGCTTTACCTATATCATTAGTCTTCTGACTCCCTTAGAAGAAAATCTTGAAAGTCCTCAAAAAAACAAAACAAAAAAATGCTTTTAGGGTTGCCTTTAAAAAAAATAGTACTGATGACTGAATTTACTTTGAGATATATCCTCATTCATTCATTCATTTACTACTAAACTGCCCAAACTGGCCTTGAATTTGTGATCTTCCTGCCTCAGCCTCCCACACTGCTGGACTACAGGGCATGTATCATAGGGTTTGGTTGTATCTTGAATAAATATTAGCATGCTCATAAAATTTGTGAACTGACAGGGCATTTATCTCCTCTACCAGAAAACAAACTTTTTATGGCAAACAAAAAAGACTGAATCATATACTGTATCTAAGATTTTTTTATTTTACTTATTTACTTATTTATTCATTTTATTACTTTAAAGTTAGCATGAAATATCGGTTTCCAAGTAATGTGGCACACTTTTCTGACGGGTTAGGGTTGACTAAAACTTGCTTTTCAGCTCATATGTATCCCATTCTCTAAGCCTTTCATGAAATTCTCCACTATTAAGTTAGCCGGTCTCTTTAAAGCAAGCCCTCCGTTTTCCACATAGCACACTGTTTTTGGAACTGATTAATGAAAAGCTGGATGATACCTTCCTTTGATAGTTAATGGAGAAAAAAACTGACAACTACTGATTTTAAAAGAATGATTTTCAAGCACAGGAAACATGCTTTCATTTTTATTATGCTGAAGACACAGGCACCACCAGATAAATGGATACACCTCAAGACTACAATGTTAAGTGAAATGAAAATCACACACACAAGTTTAAATATCACATGGTTTCTCTTATACATATGATAAACCCAAAATATAAATAAAAAGCAAAATAAGAGATAAATAATAGCAAGTAGGGAGATCTCTTTCAAATGGGAAGAGAAACAAGAGATGGAGGGAAGTAGGGAAGGGGGGAAGGGAAAAAGGATTTAAGAAGAAAAAAAAATCAAAGAAAAAAACAGAAATAGAGTTTTTTGAAATGGTAATGAGATTAAGAGTTGGCCAGAGCAGGGAGGGATGGGAGGGGAAGATAAAATAGGACTAAGATGTGTTATGTACATGTACAAACTCCCCACACAAACAATCATTATGTACTGCAAACATGTACTAATAAAAATGCATTAATAAAAACTTTAAAAGTATAGAGAATCAGAGTTATAAATTTAAGAAGTATCATTGGCCAGGTGGATTTATCACTTTTGAAAAATATGATCTTACCTGATTAAGCGAGGTATTATCTGTAATTACAGCATCAGGAGGTCTACTAGGTGTGGCTGTAGCCACCTAAAATCAAAAGATATTATATGTTAAATCTCAAAGATCAGGATTTTCTTTCCATAAAAGAAAAGCCATCATGCTTCAACAGACTATGAATTGGATAAAAGGAGTTTTTACTTAATATTCTGTTTTATTCTAATATTTTAGGAGAGAATGGCATTAAAAATTTCCTAACTCTTAGCTTCACATACATTATAATTTTCCTGAAGTAACCCTTTTGTAAAATTTTATTTATTTCTTTTTTCTTTTTTTTTAGGCAGAGTCTCACTATATAGTTGAGGCTGGGCTTGAACTCACTATGTATCCCCAGCTGGCCTCAAACTCACAGCGATTCTCCTGCCTCAGCTTTCCGCGTGCTGGGATTACACGTGTGCACCACCATGCCTGGCTTGAAGTGACCCTTTTAAAAATATCTTTACTAAAAAAAAAAAACAAACTATCTTTACTTTACAAGTATCTTTACTATATAATCAGATCTATTCTTCTCTCCCAAAGGAGAAAAAGTTACATTTTTCCTGTGTAAAAGATTGATAACAGCAATAATCAAACATGTAATCAATCTAAATTGATTCAGTCTTTAAACTGGTTTTCAAAAATCCTTACATATTTTAATTTGCCATTTTAACAAAACTATACATTCTAAGCTCAGTTACCAAAAAGAGTCGATTATTATGGTCTTACTTCCAACACTTAAGACTACTGGTGAAAACTTAGTAGCAGGTACCAAGCACAGGTATGAGCACAAATTTAGGTTAAAAACCAAAGTAAAAACATCCTCATCAGCTGAACTGTATTCAAGAGGCTAGTATCAACTTTTCAATAATCTATTTTTTTTGGTTTTTTACCGGTATCAGGAATCGAACTCACGACCTTGTGCTTGCCAGGCAGGCACTGTGCCACTGAGCTAAGTCCCCAGCCCCAACTTTTCAATAATTTATAATAGAAACAATATATTATTCATTTTGTCTCCACTAGGTAAATTTTTACAACAAAGTCAGCTTTTATTCTTGTAGAGCATTAAGGAATTAGAGAGCAATTTTTCACTTTTAAAATGCTAAGCTCAGATATATTCCCAAATCTATCCTTACAGACATACACACATAAAAATCACTGGGAAGGCTGCTCCTTTTCATACAAGAGGCTCCTGTTAAAAATGAACTGGACCAGGGATATAGCTCAGGGCTAGGGATATAGCTCAGTGGCACAAGCACCTGCCTGATAAGTGCAAGGTCCTATGTTCAATTCCCAGTACCAAAAAATAAAAAATAAAAAATTAATAAAAATGAACTATATCCCTTCTTTATTGTACTCACATGCAGTGTTATTTATATATTTATTTTCAAGTCATTCTACTATGTTTTAGAGCACTGATATTTGGGGGCAGATTTAATTCTTAACTCTTATGGGGAAGTCCCTTATTTCAGAAAACCAACTGCTAGCAACAGCCAGAAAGATACGTGCTAGGGGCGTGTACAGTGGGCAGGCTGCCATAACAGCTTTATGGTTAAGATGAAGGTGGCCAGTTAACAACTTAGGGCTTCACCACAGTATACCATCAGCCTATACTGTTTCCCAAAGCAACAAAGATACTATATTACTGCAAATATATCTAGACAAGGGGGTCCAGCTTAGATTTTTGGTTGGCCCACAATGCCTGTTACCCAACATTAAGATGAACATTATGTAACTGATGATTTGTGACTTAGCATGTGCAGGGCCCTAGATTTAATCCACAGCACCACATTAAAAAAGAAAAGGGAAAAAAAAAATAGCATGTTTTTACTTCAGCTAATGTAAGTTCAGATTTACATTTTTCCCTTTACAACATGTTCATTAAAAGCATGAAAAATATGAATATCATATTTCCAAGCTTTTCATTCAAGTAAGACCACACTGCACATGCTAATACAGTCTACAACTTGTGTCACTAACTCTAGAAAGACACAGCCCCACATTAAGTAATAATATAAGGGATGGGGATATAGCTCTGTGGCACAGCGCCTGCCTGGCAAGCGCAAGGTCCTGAGTTCTACTCCTGGAAAAAACAAAACAAAAAAATCAAAGTAATAACCTAAGATTGTCAGAGTAATTCGCCTACACATAAGCAGAAATCAAAAACTTTTAAATGCAGGTCTAAAAAGTACTGATAAAGTATTAATCAGTATTACTTTTGAATAGCTATCCTCATACTTAATTTATACACAATGCAGTTAAATTACACAATTCAGTAGCTGTTAGTGTATTCACATGGCTGTGCAATCATCACTACAATCAACTTCACCATTCTCATCTCTCCAAGCAGAACCCTGCCTGCTATATTCACCCACTTGGGATAAGCCCTCCAAGCACCTTCCAGGAACTTTTAGTAGCTTTTTAACAATGCTTTCAGGGGCTGGGGATTTAGCTCAGCGGCAAAGCGCCTGCCTGGCAAGCGGCAAGCGCAAGGTCGTGAGTTCGGTTCCCGGCACTGAAGAAAAACCAAAAAAAAAAAAAAAAACAATGCTTTCATAAGTTGTGGTTGCTTCACTGGCAAGAAGCTCTTCTTGAGACCATTCTAGAAGTTACCCTTCAATATTGCTTTAAATAATACTTTATTTAGTACAGAATACTGTTAACTACAATATAATCTTACTCCTCAAATGACTCTGAGATAAACACTAAGTTAAAATAATATAAAAATCCAAATTATGGAGCTGGTGACTCATACCTCAAATCCTAGCATTCTGGGAAGCTGAGGCAGGAGGATTATGAGTTTAAGTTCACCCTGAGCAACTGAGTAAGACCTTGTTGGAAAAAAAAAACAACCTAAATGTTAAACCTGAAACTATGAAATTACTACAAGTAAACATGGGGAAAACTTCTAGACATTGGTACAGACAATGATTTTTTTTAGATAGGCTTCCCCAAGGTACAGGCATAAAAAGTACAGATAAAAAAGAATGGGGTCGTATCAAACTAAGAAGTTTAGTCAGGTGTGGTGGTGCATGCCTGTAATCCCAGCACTTGGGAGGCTGAGGGAGGAAGATGGCTATGAGCTCAAGGCCAGAATAGGCTCCATAGTGAGCTCAAGACCAGCCTGAACTACACAGTGAGACCTGTCTCAAAAATTCTAAAAAACAAACAACCTAAAAAGCTGAATCAGAGCACAGAAAATCAACATAAGAGAAATAATAGATTGGGAGAAAATATCTGCAAAGTACTCATCTGGTAAAAGATGGATATCCAGAATATATAAGGAACTCAAAGGTTGAATGTTCAAAAAAAACACACACACACAAATAATATAAATAATCCAATTTAAAATGGGCAAAAGAACTAAACAGGCACCTCTAAAAAGAAGACAAATGGCCAACAAGTACATGAAAAAATGCTCAATGTCGCTAATTATCAGAAAAACGCAAATCAAAGCCACACAATATTGTGTCACCCTGCTAAAATGGCTATCATCAAAAGACAACAACAGGCCCTGCGCAGAGAGCCAGTGTTCCAGGAGCGGCTAGACACCTGGGCTCGAGTCTGTGCTC